CACCTGATGATGACCAATTAAGGTCGAAACATGCAATGGATCTTAATAGACATTGAGCCCATATTCACACGCTGTTGTGTTGACGGACCTTCAACACAAATATCAACATGCAGAAGGTTGCCTCCCTCGAAACTCGAAGCAACTATTTTTCATAATTTTCTTTCGATGTTACGTAATTTTGACGATTAATTTAAGTTGTCGAATCAAAAAGATTGTGGTGTTCGCAGAGTGCGTCTCGTACTGGATAGACGAGAAATAAATTAAAATATTTGAATGTGACTGAAAATGCAACCGTCACTGAAGTATTTAACTTTCGGTTGAAACACATTTCGATAGTTTTCTCTAAGATCGATTTGAACTTGATTTCGCTTCTCTCCACAACCTGTGCATTTGTTAAGAGCGTCATTACATAAACCAAAGTACATATTATCCTATATATGTCATAGTCTATTTCGGTGAGTTCCCAACCATAGTATGTGTGAATTTCTCCGTTCCTAAAAGTTCATAAGGTCCACATTGAACTGTTCAACAGGTATCAAAGCACCCGTACGTGACGGAAAATGAGGCGTGCAAACCCGTAATCTTGGAGACGAGCGCGTTCCTACGCGACGTGCAAATGATGACCAAGGAAGACAAAGACTTCGTCATAGCAAGGATTGCCCGCTCGGGAATCCCACGGGACATTCTGTTTGCTATTGGTGGGTGTCGCTACGGAACGTTGACAGATGTGATCGAAACTTATGACATACGAGCAAACCGATGGAGTGTGGTGAGTTTCATGCATCTCTACTTTTATCGTGCTTTGTTAAATGACGCCTACGAGAAAAACTAACTTTTCCTCTATTTTGCTTATTTTTACTAAGTAATTGCTTATTTAAGCTTAATCACAAGGACCTGTTAGCCTCTTTATTTCGTATTCGTTTATTTCCATTGCAGTGAACACTTTTTAAGAGAAGCTCCGATTAAATTAATTAAAAAGAATAAATGAATAGATTAAATGTCGTGTCTTATGTAAAATTTAACTTCTAATAGGAATCCACGAATGGTATGAAGTTTGCCTTAAATACAATGTAAAATTGGCGTCCTACATCAACTGTCATGGCAACCTGTCTGCTGAATTTGAACACGAAACGAAATCATCATTGATGATCAGTGTGGAATTCAACGTAATAAATGAATTACTGATCATTGTCGATGTTCGCTTTCTGGGTGGTAACGCCGCGTAAATTTTATGGCACACTTTTTGGTTTGGAGTGAGGGACGTACTGCCTCCAGCTATGCGTCGATGAAACCCAAAACAACATCATCTGTCTTCACCACCACACGAAACTGAAATGTGAGCTGTTGATCAGAAATTCTACATTTCTCTGTAAGCAGAGATCGAGAGAATGAAGTGTCCTTCAGTAACTCGTCGACTTGAAGAGAACTCTGATAATGTTGAAGTTTCTTCCTCTTTCCTCCGCCCCCCATAATTCCACCATTGTTCCAAGTTCCTTTCTCACGGTCTTTGTCGAGTGTGGTAGGCCCGGTAACCGTTCACGGTGTAGCAATTTCGGTCCGCTGTTGTGGGTTGTACCTCTGCTCCGGTGGTTGCTTGGACTCTAATGTAAGGACTTCACATTACGAGGTGCGATCGGAAAGTTTCCAGACTGCGCCTATAAAAACCCGTACACTTATCTCAGGTATTAAATTCATCCATCACCCTCGAAGTAGTTCCCCTGGGAGTGAACACATTGATCCCAGCGCCGCTGCCAAGTCTGGAAGCATCCCTGGAAATCTTTCTTTGTCAGCTTGTCAAGCACCATCTGCGATTCTGCCTGAATCTCTTCTATCGTCTCAAATCTCCTTTCCTTTAGCTGAATTTTCATGTTTGGGAAGAGGAAGAAGTCGCACGGCGAATAAGGAGGGTGCGGGATGACGGCCATGGTGTGTGAGGCCAAAAACTGCCGAACTTTGAGGGCGGTGTGCGCTGGCGCGTTGTCATGATGCGTCGCATGTGGAGTTCTTCCTTTAGAATCAGCTGACAGGTCCCATAGCCTATCCCAACAATGTCGCACAAGTCGTTGATGGTACGACATCG